TCTGCTCTGGTGAGACCTCACCTGCAGCACTGTGTGCAGTTCTGGTGTACTCAACATCAGAAGGACATGGAGCTGTTGGAACAAGTCCAGAGGAGGCCACGAGGATGCTCAGGGGCTGGAGCAGCTCCTGTATGGAGCCAGGCTGAGAACATTGGGGCTGTTGAGCCTGGAGAAGAGAAGCTGCGTGGAGACCTCAGAGCAGCTTCCAGTGTCTGAAGGGGGCTGCAAGGATGCTGGGGATGGGCTCTTCATCAGGGACTGCAGTGATAGGACAAGGGGTGATGGGTTCAGACTGAAACAGGGGAAGGTCAGGTTGGAGATAAGGCAGAAGCTCTTCCCTGTGAAGGTGCTGAGGCACTGGAATGGGTTGCCCAGGGAGGTTGTGAATGCTCCATCCCTGGCAGTGTTCAAGGCCAGGTTGGACAGAGCCTTGGGTACCATGGTTTAATGTGAGGTGTCCCTGCCCATGGCAGGGGGTTGGAACTGCATGAGCTTAAGGTCCTTTCCAACCCAAACCATTCTGTGATTCTATAAGCAGAAGCTCTTCCCTGTGAGGGTGCTGAGGCGCTGGCACAGGGTGCCCAGAGAAGCTGTGGCTGCCCCATCCCTGGCAGTGCTCAAGGCCAGGTTGGACACAGGGGCTTGGAGCAAGCTGCTCCAGTGGAAGGGGTCCCCATGGCAGGGCTTGGGAACAGAGGAGCTTTAAGCTCCCTTCACCCCAAACCATTCCCTGACTGTAGAACCTTCATCCTGCTCCCAGGGCTCAGATCCTGCAGTGTGAGCGGTACCTTAAATTCTCTGATTCCTTTCTCCCACCAGGATATAAGACAGGGGCCAGGGAAGGAGCATCCCTGTTTTCTCACCCCAGGCACCTTATGTGACATGGCCAAGCTGACTCCTAAGTGTTTGCCCCCGCTATCTCCTTGCCTGCTTGTCCCTGGGGTGCTGTAGCTGTGCATTGCCCTGTATCTGCAGAGATGCTTTGCTGCTCATCCTCATCTCTGCTTTATCCATCCTCATTCTTCAAGGGGTTTTCATTCCTCCCTAGCTGTTACCCTTATTTATCTCCTTTAACAGCCTGTCTGCACATGGAAACAGATCTGCAGAGCTGCTGGGAAACAAGCTGTTCTGCACCGTGCCCATCCTCCTAGTGAGTAAATGTCAAATACAGCACGCTGAGGCACACTGATTGGCTTGAAATGAATGCCATGAGGAGCAGGAGTCCAGAGGGGAGCTGTTCCATCCATCTTCCCATGCAAACAGCCCCCAGAACACGCTCGGAGTGAGATGTGTGCGTTACTTTATAAGCTGAAGTCAGAAATGGCAGCTACTGGTGTGATTCACCATGGGGAATGCGTCATGGTGCTTTGGAAGGTATTTATGTCAGAGAATCATAGGATGATGGAATCCCAGTGGAAGGGACCTCAAGGATCCTCTGCTCCAACCTCTCCAGGCACAGCCTGACCCAGACTGGATGCCCAGCACCCTGTGCAGCCCCATCTTAACAGTGTCCAGCACTGGGGAGTCCCCACTGCCATGGGGAGATTATTCCAGTGCCTGCTTGTTCTCACTGGGATGATTCTCCTCTTGTGTCCAGTGGGAATCTCCCAGCAGTAACTTGTGCCCATCACCCCTGGGCTTTCCCATGGGACTCCTTGTCCAAAGGGAGTCTCCATCTTCCCTGCATCCCCCTTTACCTCTGGCACATGGATCAGGTCTCCCTGCGCCTTCTCTTCTCCAGCTGCACAGTCCCAGCTCTCTCAGCCTTTCCTCACTGCTGCCCAGCCCTTGGAGCATCCTTGAGGCCCTTCTCTGTCCCCAGTCCAGCCTGGCCACAGCTTTGCTGTGCAGCAGGACCCAACCTGACCCCGTGTTCCAGGGGTGCCCTGCCCAGCGCCCAGCACAGTGGGACAGCATCAGGAGTTTCTTAGATGCCTCTCCCTTGTCAGCGTTACTGGAGCCTCACTCATTGAGCATCTCAAGACTCTTGTTGTGAACACACATAGGAAAGAGCATAGGAAATACAAGTAGGCCATGCAAACACACACATCTGTCTCCAGTGTGGCTGTCTCCTATGGCACCAAGTTCTGTTCTAGTTTATGGACCTTATGATGGGGCTTGGAGCAAGCTGCTCCAGTGGAAGGGGTCCCTGCCCATGGCAGGGGTTGGAGTTGAAGGAGCTTTAAGGTCCCTTCAACCCAAACCAGTCTGGGATCCTATGGTTCTATGCCTTGCCTGTGCCTGATCCTGACCCTTGCAATCCTAGAAGCAAACAAACTGTGTTAAGTTTGCAGCTGGACTCAATGGTCTTAATGGTCTTTTCCCACCTAAATCATTCTGTGCTTCTCATTGCCACTGGTTTTCTTATGGTGCTTGGCCCTAAGTCTCCCATGCCTTTCCATTGGTGTGGTTAAGGAAAGAGGCATTGCCTCTCTATTTTCCTTAGCTATAACTCACCCATCACACAGGTGATCCCACTAATTCTCTGTGGTTATTCATAATTCACCTTGTTGGAAGCAAGGAGCGGGGTCAGACACTGCATCTCCCGATCTATCTGTCCCAGGACTTTCATTTCATGCCTTTCTGCTCAGATGGGAGGCATGGGATGCTCAGTTCCTTTCTGCTCAGATGGGATGCATGGGATGCTCAGTTCCTTTCTGCTCAGATGGGATGCATGGGATGCTCAGTTCCTTTCTGCTCAGATGGGATGCATGGGATGCTCATTCCCTTTCTGCTCAGATGGGATGCATGGGATGCTCAGTTCCTTTCTGCTCAGATGGGATGCATGGGATGCTCAGTTCCTTTCTGCTCAGATGGGATGCATGGGATGCTCAGTTCCTTTCTGCTCAGATGGGATGCATGGGATGCTCAGTTCCTTTCTGCTCAGATGGGATGCATGGGATGCTCAGTTCCTTTCTGCTCAGATGGGATGCATGGGATGCTCAGTTCCTTTCTGCTCAGATGGGATGCATGGGATGCTCAGTTCCTTTCTGCTCAGATGGGATGCATGGGATGCTCAGTTCCTTTCTGCTCAGATGGGATGCATGGGATGCTCATTTCCTTTCTGCTCAGATGGGATGCATGGGATGCTCAGTTCCTTTCTGCTCAGATGGGATGCATGGGATGCTCAGTTCCTTTCTGCTCAGATGGGATGCATGGGATGCTCAGTTCCTTTCTGCTCAGATGGGATGCATGGGATGCTCAGTTCCTTTCTGCTCAGATGGGATGCATGGGATGCTCAGTTCCTTTCTGCTCAGATGGGATGCATGGGATGCTCAGTTCCTTTCTGCTCAGATGGGATGCATGGGATGCTCATTTCCTTTCTGCTCAGATGGGATGCATGGGATGCTCATTTCCTTTCTGCTCAGATGGGATGCATGGGATGCTCAGTTCCTTTCTGCTCAGATGGGATGCATGGGATGCTCATTCCCTTTCTGCTCAGATGGGATGCATGGGATGCTCAGTTCCTTTCTGCTCAGATGGGATGCATGGGATGCTCAGTTCCTTTCTGCTCAGATGGGATGCATGGGATGCTCAGTTCCTTTCTGCTCAGATGGGATGCATGGGATGCTCAGTTCCTTTCTGCTCAGATGGGATGCATGGGATGCTCAGTTCCTTTCTGCTCAGATGGGATGCATGGGATGCTCATTTCCTTTCTGCTCAGATGGGATGCATGGGATGCTCATTTCCTTTCTGCTCAGATGGGATGCATGGGATGCTCAGTTCCTTTCTGCTCAGGTGGGATGCATGGGATGCTCAGTTCCTTTCTGCTCAGATGGGATGCATGGGATGCTCATTTCCTTTCTGCTCAGATGGGATGCATTTCGTTCCCCAAACTGGCTCTTCAGAAGCCTCTAATAGATTTGCTCTTCATAGAATCATCCTGGAACGGTTTGGGTTGGAAAGGACCTTACAGCTCATCCAGTGCCAAGGGCAGGGACATCTCTTGGAGCAGAGCCCCATAAGGGAAATGGGTGCCAGGTCCTAGATGACTTTTGGACAGATTCTGTCACCTATGCTTTGACACTGGGATCTCCACATCTCTCCCTTCACCATTGCCCGGCTGCTCAAGGAAGTCCCATCTCATAAGGCATTACTTCAACCTCCTCTCACTCCAGCTCCTCCAAGGCAGATGCTCGCCAGCAGCCGTATAGAATGAATTTCCAGAGCCTCTGCCCATTCTTTTCCATGGTTTTGGGAAGCAGCTGTGAAACGCCCATTGTGAGGAGGCCTTGGGCCCCGTTCCCACTGGTGCCGGTGGTTTTGGCTGGGGGCAGCCGTAAGGAGAAGGCATTTTGCCACTGGGAAGCATCTTTGAAAGAATCCTTTATAGTGCATTGGGGAAAAAAGGCTGGGCGTAGGGATACGTGGGCTTTGCACCTGGGAGCATTGAAAGCATCTTGGACAAATCACATAACCTCTCTGTGTCTCAGGGTTGTCCTCTTTGAGAAGGGGATAACACTTCTTCAGTGCGTGTGTAATGTACTTCTTCTAGGGCCTCAGATGAGTACTGCAAATCCTATGCAAAAGACCATATCAGACCTTCAAAGGGAATAATCCCAAAGTCTTTTTGGATCCTGCATTAGGAGTCATACGACATACCTTCTGGTGTGCACGAGAAATGATCCCATACACGTCGGCATCTCTCAGTTGGATGCAAAAGGGGGCTGCCGGCAGCCTGAGCGCTTTGCACAGAGATGAATTAAACAGCATCGCGACTCTGTGAGGTGAAAGATCCCACATCTGGGACAAGGGGATGATGTGGGACCACGCGTCTGGGAGCGGACACCGCAGGGCGGCGGTGGGCACAGGAACCCGGCGGCGGGCACAGGGACCCTGCGGCGGCGGCGGGCACAGGGACCCTGCGGCGGCGGGCACAGGGACCCAGCGGCGGCGGCGGGCACAGGGACCCAGCGGCGCCGCCGCCGCACGCACCGCCGCGGTGTTTTGTCCCCGCGCAGCCGCCGTCGCGCTCGTTACCATGGCAATGGGGTGGCGGCCGCGGGCCTGAGCTGCGCGGGAAGCCGCCCGCGGCCTACCCGCGGCCTTCCGCCCGCCATGGAGGACGAGCTGTACCTCGAGAACATCGACGAGTTCGTCACCGACCAGAACCGCATCGTGAGTCCCGCCGCGGGGAGCGGCAGTTGAGCGACCCCCTCGAGGGAAAGACCCCTTCCCCTCGCCTTATGGCTGTCGTTGGGGGGGGTCCCCATTCATGTTCGGGGTCCCCTCAGGAGGCTGGGCCATGAACCGCGCTTTGACACCGGTGCGAGGCCCCCCCTCCTCACCGGTCCGGTGCACCCCAGGCCCGCAGGTGAGGGGGGGCAATGCCCCCCGCCGTGGCACCCGCCTGTGGGACACCCATGGGTGCCCGGGGCCCCTGGAGGAAGGAGGCTGCAGTGGTTGAATCTGCTTTGCTCTTCAGGGCTGTTTACTGGATGTTGCCCCCCCTCCGCAGGGGCTGTGTGGTGCCTGGCACTGTTTGCACTTTGCCTTTCCACAGTTACCGCGGGCTTCTTGTCAGACTGGATGGGAGATGGGTTCCTTGTTAGGATATTCACCCCTTTGAGGTTAAATTAACATCTTATAGAACCGGGGAGTGGTTTTGTTGGAAGGGATCTTAAAGCTCCTCCAGTTCCAACCACTGCCATGGGCAGGGACCCCTTCCACTGGAGCAGCTTGCTCCAAGCCCCTGTGTCCAACCTGGCCTTGAGCACTGCCAGGGATGGGGCAGCCAGTGCTTCATAGCCTTAGGGTTAGTTTAAAGAGGCAGAGCGGGAGGAGAAACAGGTATAAAAGCCGTGCCTTGTCTAAATAAGAGCAAGTGTTATTTTTACAAGGGCCTGTAGGGCCAGCCCAAGGGGAATGGCTTGAACCTGCCCGAGGGGAGACTGAGCTGAGCAATTAGGCAGAAGCTCTTCCCTGTGAGGGTGCTGAGGCGCTGGCACAGGGTGCCCAGAGAAGCTGTGGCTGCCCCATCCCTGGCAGTGTTCAAGGCCAGGTTGGACACAGGGACTTGGAGCAAGCTGCTCCAGTGGAAGGGGTCCCTGCCTGTGGCAGGGGTTGGAGCTGGAGGAGCTTTAAGGTCTTTCAGCCCAAACCATTCCATGATTCTATGGCAGTGGCCCGGCAGCAGAAATCCAATGGATGCTCAGTAGTTGTTTGGGAGAGCGGTAAGAGCTTCTCACAGCTAAAACTTGTGCTGTTTAACTGCTTTTCTGCATTGTGAAGCTAAGCAGTGAGTGTGTTTTGCATGCCTGCTGTTTATATAATGTCATTTCAAGAAGGTGTTCCCAAAACCACACCTTTCAGGGCAGGTATTTTGCTCAGGCCTCAGGAATTCAGTCTGCTCATGAAAGCTTGACTGGGTGCATGTCCAAGTGCTCTCACTTCTAACAGCTTTTGCTGTGTGTTTCTTGGAGGCGGGGAGGGGGTGACGAGTTTGACTTACCCATTAAACAAGCAGATGGAGGTTTAACAAGTCAGGAGGTTGGAGTTTTCTTACTGAAGTGAGATTTGCTTTGTTCTTGTTACAGGTAACATACAAATGGCTGAGCTATACCCTGGGGGTTCATGTCAACCAGGCTAAACAGTAGGTATTAGTGCTTCCCACAAGCGTTTTGTTCTGTGGCAGAGCCTTGCTAATGACTCTTTTCACAGCTGTGCTTAACATTAAAATTATCCCTCTGGAAATACTTTGAAATCCTTCTTGGGCACACTCTGTTATTCAGTGTCTTTCTGGGGGCAGGTGCTGCCTTTGGGAGCTGTGCTTTAGAGAGCAGCGCTCAGCTGGACACCTTATGCTGCTTTAGATCACAAGTTCTTTGGTCAGAATAGATGGTTTAGTGTTACATTCCATCCTGGATGTGTTTTCAGAACGTGGCTCTGGTCCCAGCTTAGGATATCGTATGTTATCCATGGATATTGCTGGGAGCAGGGTCAGGAAAACACAAACCAACGCTGATTGCAACTGCAGCTCGTGTATGCAAATGCTCATTCACTCTGACCACCCTGCTGCACAGCCCGTTATAAAGATCTCCTTACCAGGCTTGATGGGCACGGGTAGATGTTTGAAGGCTGGGGAAGCCAGGATGCTGTCAGCATGGTTTTGCTTCTCTGAATTTAATATAAATATTAACCTTGTCTTGGTGTATTTTGAAGAATAAAAATTGTAACCTTTTAAATCTCCTATAAAACAAAGAACGAGCTCTCAAGGATTCCAGGGCTGTTGCTGCACAGGAAGGTAAAATCAAGCATATGATTTAAAGGCTCCATAAAAGTGTCAAGCTCTATAATACAGTATTTTCTCTCCTTATTTCTTGCTGTAGCTTGGACCTGAAGGGGTTTTTGCTGTGTGCTCAGCTGCAGTGTCCTGAGCCCAGCTTCATGTGTCCTGCCCAAACCACTAGAACATAAGTTAATGTAATGAAGAGATTGTCTGGTCTCTTTCCTCTGCCTGTGTGTGAACAGCTTAGATGATGTGTAAACCTGAGTGTGCTTCAGTGACAGTGTAGACCTGACTGGAGAGCTCTCCTGGGAGCAATTCTATACACACAGTAAAGTAGAAGGAGCCAGAGAACTTTCTGTTGTGAAGAAAATGGGCCAGGTGAAGTGGAGGCACCTTCTCATACCCTTGAAAGAACCTGGAGTTGGAGAACTCCTGTGGCATCCTTGTGCTTAAAACTTCTCTCTGGAAGCTGGAAAGTGGCTGATATCACAGATGAATTATTTTAGTGGTTGTGCTGGCTGTGACAGTGTGGTAATCGCAGCAGTGATGATCTTCATGTGTTTTTACCAGATATTGTCCTCATGGAGTGTTCAGCAGTGTCTCTGCCCTGTTGTGTGGGACACTCAGCATAAATCAAGTGGAAAGCTTGAGTCTCCACTCAATCTCATTATCAGTAGTCACAGAATTGTATTAATAATGCTCTTCCATCCTGTTTCTGATCACTGTGGATCTAACTGGGGTTGTATATATACACCTCGTAGTGTGATTAGGTACCAGAAATCACCAGTTCCTGATCAGGTGTTTCAGAACACTGGGATATAATAAGGAAAACAGCCTTTCATGGAGTGACACTTAGGACCAAGCTGTCCAGAGGATGTGAGACCATCTGCAACCAGCTCTACAAGCTTTGAGAGCTTATATTCATTTCACCTTTGGTTTATGTGATGGTTGGACTGAGATTCTCCAAAGTGGCAGAGGAAGAACGTGACTTACTGAGATTAATTTAATCCTGATTGAAATAGCACTGCTTATTTGAAAAGTTTCCATGTCAGGCTGGCTTTACTCTTCCTTTACATAAGCTTTATGGAAGGGGTGGTGATGGGCTTTTTTCTTTCTAGGTGATTAACACTGGTTTTGTTTGTGCAGGATGCTCTATGATTATGTGGAGAGGAAACGAAAGGAGAATTCAGGAGCTCAGCTTCACGTCACCTACTTAATAGCTGGAAATCTCATCCAGAACGGACATGTGGTGAGTGGTTCCTCAAGGGTGTCTGTGAGCTCTTTGGTCTTGTGGATTTCCTCTTGGTTTATGATTTTTGGGCCAAAAGCTCAATTTGCTCTTTTTTTTTCCAGTGGAAAAAGGTCTTCTATGCACATACAAAATGCGATGCTAGCCTTGTCCCAGCATGCAAATGATGGGGAGGAAGGATCATGACTTGATAATACAGTGCTGAATAACACACCAGGGCTTTGATTTAATACAGTGCTGTCAGTCATCTCTCGATCCTATCACTATTATTGAATAGCAGAGATTTTGCAGAGATCTGGAGGAACCCTTGTGAGATGAGCTAATCCATTCCCCAGGATCTGCTGTGGCATGGAAGTGCTGAGCAGTGTTTGGAGAGAGCTTGGAATTCAGTTAGAATGGAATAGCAATAAATAGAATAAGAGTTTAAATTGTTAATCGTAGCAACTTTTTGTCTTGGTACACAAGGAAAACATGAATTGATTAACAATATTTTGTATTTAAACAAGGGGTAATGGGTTAAAACTTAAACAGGGGAAGTTTAGATTGGATATAAGGAGGAAATTCTTTGCTGTGAGGGTGGTGAGGCACTGGAATGGGTTGCCCAGGGAGGCTGTGAATGCTTCATCCCTGGCAGTGTTCAAGGCCAGGTTGGATGAGGCCTTGGGTGATATGGTTTAGAGCGAGGTGTCCGTGCCCATTGCAGGGGGGTTGGAGCTTGATTATCTTGAGGTCCTTTCCAACCCTAACTATTCTATGATTCTATGAAGCATTAAGCACTACTTAATGTATATGTTTTTTTCCTCACTGCTTGCCACCTAAGGTGGCATTTCAGGAATGCCACCTAAAATTTCAGCTGGGTACCCCAGCGCTGTTTGAAAGAGAGGAGCAAATGAACATCTGTTTCCTTCTGCTCACAGAACAACTTAATACCCAAACACTGAATACCTTTGCCATTCCACCAGGTATCTATTTGTATCTTTAGATACCCCAGAATCTCTTTACAACACGTTCCACAGTCTTCATTTGGAATTGGTTCGCCTCAGGGTGTTTTGGCTTTTAGCTGTGGATTGGGAAAAAGCCCCAGCAAACCTTCTGTTGTTTGTTTTCGTTAATAATAAACCGGTTCAGATGCATGGAATGTTCTCTTTAAATCTCCAAGCCTGCCTGGAATTGAAAGTAGTTATTTATTTAAAGATCTGTTTATTATTTACATAAAATACATACATTTACATACATTTTGGTGTATTTATATAAACACTTATAGTGTGATTATCTATAGTTTCCTTATATCTATTTAAATATCCATATCTAATACAACTAAATATCTAGATATTTAATATGAATTTCATTTACATAAATATATACATTCAAATATAAATAAAACTATAAATAATCATACTATAAATGTTATAGAAATATACTGAAATGTATTTAAATAAACATACCATAAATATATTTAAACATACTATATATAAACACATAGAAATATAGTTTATATTCAAATACACTACAAATATATAAAATATATATGAATATGCTATAAATATATAGATATATAGTATAAATATAATATACTATAAATATACAGCTGTGTCACATCTAAAGCTTTGTCACGTTTAAAGCTAGTGTCACATTGGTAGCCTGAGTTCAACAGGTTTTCCCCTGATCTCTTCTGGAAACAGCAATGTGGCATCTCTTGGCTCACTAGAGCTGGCCAGAGGTTTGTCAACACGTTCTATTATTATTCAATTTGCCCTAATATATTTGAAACAAACAAGTGAATTCTGGCATAGGATCAAATAATTATTTATTGGGTATTTTTAAGACAAGATCTATACCCAGGTAGACATAGAAAAGTCACTTCTTTTCTTGGTTTGCTTTTAAACATCTTGGTTTTGAACACTGCAGTAGCAGTGTCTGCTTAGAGAGATGATCTACAGGTGCAGTAAGTCATCAGGAACAGGGATGAAGCAATGCCAGGGTTAGGAATGCCACATTGAAGGAGTTAAAGTTCCTCGGGCTGCATGTTGGAGGGATAACTGGAGCAGATACACTAAGAGGGTCAGATGTGGATGATGCTTCCAAATGATGTGTAGGTATTGGAGTAGCTGGTGGGTAATACCTGGCACAAGTCAGTTTTGGGTAGGAAAGGGATGTGAGTGCTTCAAATGCAGCCCTGTGCTTGTGGTATCCCTGCACTACTGTCTGCTGGCAGTAGGTGTAGCCAAAAGACTGTGGGTTCCACTGCAAGACTCATCCAAGAGGAGATAGGGATAGAAATCAGGGCACAAATCATTCTCATCGTGCCTTCAGCACTGCACACTCTTTTCTTACTGCTTTTTATCATCTTTGGCGAGGGACCGAGGCTCTCAATCTTTATTTAGTGTTTCAGGTTGCCTTTGTTTTCTCCCCTCTTTTGCTGTCTAATCTGTGGTATCAGTTAAAATTAATGGTTGGATTTTGTCTAGCCTGTCTCTTTGGATACTCTCTGTATGAATTGCAGCCTGTTAAATGCCATGGAGCAGGTACAGTCCTTGAACACTGGCCACAGAGCATGTTTCCAGAAACACTAATTTCTGGCTTTTAATTTAATGCTTAATTTCTCACAATGCTTTACTTCTCTGGTGCTGTGTCTTTGTTACAGGTTGCTATGTTAAAGTTTACTGGCAATCTAACTATACATGGGTGATGGGGGTTAGTATGGCAGATTTCTTACCCCTGGGGCATCAGCTGTGTTAGTTTGCTGTTCTCCACTGTGCTGCACAGTTGTTTGCTTCTTGTTTTATCTATGTCTCATCTCCCAGTGTCAGGAATGGAAGAGAAGAGGATTTCTTCAGGGTTGTAATGATCTCTGGAACAGTCTGTTAGAAAAGTAGAAAGGCAGAGCTCTAAGAACTAGTGGCTGATGGCTTTTTAAAGGCAGTGGCAGTGTTCTCTGCTGCTGTAAAGCTGCACCTATAATCAATAGACTGTTATGCAACAGATCATAGAATCACTGTATGGTTTGGGTTGAAGGGACTTTAAAGCTTATCCAGTCCCAAACCCCTGCCACAGGCAGGGACCCCTTCCACTGGAGCAGCTTGCTCCAAGCCCCTGTGTCCAACCTGGCCTCCAGCACTGCCAGGGATGGGGCAGCCACAGCTTCTCTGGGCACCCTGTGCCAGCGCCTCAGCACCCTCACAGGGAAGAGCTTCTGCCTAAGAGCTCAGCTCAGTCTCCCCTCGGGCAGGTTCAAGCCATTCCCCTTGGCCTGTCCCTACAGGCCCTTGTCCCAAGCCCCTCTCCAGCTTTCCTGCAGCCCCTTTAGGTCTTATAAGGTCAGATAACCAAAAATATCAGTCTTTAAATGTAAAAATACTTACTCTGTTGTCTGCCATCTGTTTTTTACAGTGCCACAAGGTTGCAGTAGTGAGAGAGGACCAACTCGAAGGTAAGCAACTTGTGAAGATTATGTGGTTTTGACTTTTTCTTTGAAAGAACAGCAAAGTGAGGAAAGCTCCAAGCTTGCCATCTGCACATAAGTGCCTGCTCAGGCTGCTGGGTTCAGGTGGGTACTCCCTGTACCAGCTTTTTCTCAGAATTTTCAGTCTCTGAGCCAAGGGCTGCAACTTCAGGCTGGTGATTTGGGTCTGATTTTTCATTTTTTGGGGTTTTTTATGTTGCACACTTCAACCAATGATTCTTTTTTGCCTCCCTGCCACTGACAGGAAACAACTCCTTAAGGTCAGCAGTGTATCTTAGTGTCCAGCAGTGTCTCAGGGTGGGTTAGACCAGTTCCAAGCCTTTAGGCTTCCAAAGATGCTGAAGCAGGTAATTCCAGTTGTTGGTTATGTGCAATTGCAGCCTTAATTTGCCCTGAATCGTGTGGGGTTTAGTTTAAATGTCCCATGAGAACGTTCTGTCTCTTGTCTGAGAGATTTCCTGTCACAAAGGTTTAAGAAACCCACCACTGTGACACTGCTTCCTGCAGCTACTCTCCATAATCTGTCAGTTGTGTCACCATCTTTCCAGGTGTGGTGCAGCTGATGAGACCTGATCTGTGTCAACTGAAACACAACTGCAGGCTCTTCCTTACTGTCAAATAACATCGTTGGCACTTGAGAACATAATGTGGCATTGGTGACTTTAAATAGGCTCATGACCTCACTTGGTTTGAAAGACTCTCATTTATTTTCCTTTTTGAAATCTGAAGTGGATTTCTTGCTAAAGCCTTCCTCATCAGTGTAGGAGATTGTTGAGCAGCACAACTACTATCTGTCATGTTGCTTGAATTATGTGTGCTACGTAATACTCTGTTTTGCTCTGGAGGAAAGGGTTGGGCATGGTTTTTGTATTAGAAGACAGGCCAAAGGTATGACTTACATTTGGAAGAGGCTGAGGTTTTTTTTGATGGAGTTAGGGCTGTATAGTCTAGGACTGGCCCCAAGGAATGATTACTCTGTGTATTTTCACAGTGCCTAGAAGCTCTGTCTCAGACCAGGACTGTGTGGAAAGAACAATATAAGCAATGAACAAAGAATTCCTAAAAACCAGCCCTTGTCTCAAGGGAGTCACAGTCTAAATGGTGTGGAAAAGACAAAACATGAATCCCAGCAGACTACCAGAGACAGCACTGATGCTAGTTGATAAGGTGGATGCTACCTTAATGGCAGAGAGCAGTTCCAGCAGGGTAGAGTTATGACCATCTGTTTTCTTCCTTAGCTTTAGATAGTCATATAGATATGCCACCATGGCAAGGGTTTGGAACTAGATGATCTTTAAGGTCACTTCTAACCCAAGCCAGCCTGTGATTCTATATTCTGGATCCCAAACGCCAGATATTTTGAAAGTCAACACAGAGATTGCTCTTAATTCAGTTGTGTAAGAACCAGGAATGTTGTGTAAGAACCAAGAATGTATAGTGGGAAACATGTTTGACATGTGGGGTCTGTTACCATGAACTCTCACTTAGTGAGGACTGAACAAAGGTACAATTACATGTTTTTATGTTCAGGTCCTTGCTGTCAAGCGACCTGTCAGTCTTTCTCCATCCTTGGTACAGCCTGATAATTGCCACGTGGTTCTGTGCTAACAGAGGATTTTCTCCTTGTTTTCGTCAGCAATGAAGTCTAAACTATCCACAATTGCAAGCGTGCATGTCTACAGCATTCAGAAAGCTCTGCTCAAGGACAGTGGACCCCTCTACAACACAGACTATGATATTGTCAAAACAAACCTGCACAACTGCAGCAAGTGAGTTGCTTCTTGGTGTTACTTCTTCAGCAGTTGGTAGAAGGCCAGCACAGCCTGCCAGGAGCCCTGTAGGCTCTTGGTGGCTCATGTGACTGGTATACAGGGGTCATGGTGGGAGACAGGAAATAAGGCATGAGGGGAAAGGAGTAAAAAGAGCTAGCACAAGCTGAAGCAAATGATTTAGAGGAGGGGAAAGGGGCAAATCTTATAAATGTAAAAATAAGGGAAGGGAATTGGAGGGATCAGCTCGACTGGGGGGGAAGTCAGGAGAGCCCAGCTGGTGCTTGTGTTGCAGATCTGATCCATTACCTGTAAGGGGTCTCCTACACCAAAAGGCTGCTTGTTTAAAAGATGGAGTTGACAGGGCAAGTGTTGGAGATTCAGTGGTTGGACCTGATGGTCTTTTCCAGCTGAGCTGATTCTATGATTTGAGGCTGATAAGGTGATGCTACATAGAGCACTTCAGTAGAAATCAATGGTTCCCTGATGTGCCTGGATTTTTAGAAGGCTTGAAGAAGAGAGCTTCTAAGTTGTGCCAGCCAGATCATTATATGATTTTCATAAACTGAGCTATTTCCATCTTGCACTTGGTTCACTTGCTCTGTTACTCTAATAGACTGTTCCAGCACCTTTCTATTCTGATGCCTGGAAACTCCATTCTCATTTCCAGGTCATGCTTGATCATGACCATTTTTATCCAGTGTTCAGTCACACAATAAATAGAAACAGACTGAGCAAAACATGAGTGATGTGCTCAGTAAAGCATTAGCAAGAGTTTGCCTTCTGGTTTTTGAGACTGGACTTATCCACGTCTCTGAAGATGTCTTACAGGAATTTATTCTCCATATGTAAGAGCCTGAGGCATAGAGGAAGTGTCCAAAAGAGACCAAGCAGCAAAAGTGTCCTTCATGGTTGAATCAGGGCAATGCCTCATCCCTGGCAGTGTTCAAGGCCAGGTTGGACAGGGCTTGGAGCAAGCTGCTCTAGTGGAAGGTGTCCCTGCCTGTGACAGGGTGTTGGAGCTGGAGGAGCTTTAAGGTGCCTTCCAACTCAAACCATTCTGGTTCTGTAACAGTAGTCCTAGAATTCAGAGGTGCTTCAGTCTCCAGGGGTCATTGTCTCCCCTCCAGAAGCTGCCTGGCAGCTGTGGCTTTTCATTTTATATGTTGTTTCCACCACAATAGCTTCAGCTTGATGTAATCAGGACGTACAGTGCCATGACCAATCTGGTTTAGAAAGGGAGATGCCTGAATGTTGTGTCATAGAAAGAGTATAGAATTTGAAAGTAGAATCAAAGTGTGGACGAGAGAGTGGCTGAGAAAATACCACCCTGTGTTTCAAATGGGAATGTCAGGGTTAGAAAACACTGTCTCAGTGACAATGTGTGCTGTAGGTTTGGCTGCAGTTGCCTTGTTCCAGTCTGTTTGTTCTCAGGCACCCCCCACGGTGATAATTCGTGTCTTGGAGGAGTCTCCCTTTGGGATTTGTGCATCCAGGTGGTTCAGATAATTCAGGTTCTGCAGTAGCTTTCTGATGTGTAAATCCCTGCCTGGCTTTGGAGCAGGGTTTCCCAAGCAAACTGAGAGAAGTTCATTTGTGACCTGGCTCAACTAAATTCCAAGTGAACACATTCCCTCTGCCATGTCCACTACATGAATTGTCTTCTGGGACAAGATTCCTGCAGTACCTGCAAAAGTCAGAGCTTTATGTTCATAGCAAACAACCTGCTGGCTTCTTGTGCTCCCCTGTCAGTCCATAGATCTCTCACTCTAGAGCAGGATCTATATCCTTTTCTGTCTTTATATGGGAGCTGTGAAGATGGGGAGATGATGGAGGTATTCAGATGTGCTAGTATAAATAACTGGATTTAATCCATGTTGCTAATGTCAGCTTTCCAAGCAGAAGCAGCTCCTTGCTTGCAGAGCATAGTCCAAGTGTTGCTTGGTTTTTCAGTGATTATTCAGTGTATTTTGGATCAAGACCATAAGCTGTAGTCACACAGCAGCACTAAAGCAAGCTAATTGGGAATGTGTGAGGGTAAAATGTGCTTGTTCCATGGTCAATATAATTTTGGATGACAAAATGTTATTATTTATATATAATACATATCTTTCCTAAGAGAAGGCTCAAGGGAGCCATTATAACAGTGTTCTAATACCTAAAGGAGCTACAAGAAACCTGGAGAGTGGTTTGGGACAAGGGCCTGTAGGGCCAGGCCAAGGGGAATGGCTTGAACCTGCCCGAGGGGAGACTGAGCTGAGCTCTTAGGCAGAAGCTCTTCCCTGTGAGGGTGCTGAGGCGCTGGCACAGGGTGCCCAGAGAAGCTGTGGCTGCCCCATCCCTGGCAGTGCTCAAGGCCAGGTTGGACACAGGGGCTTGGAGCAAGCTGCTCCAGTGGAAGGGGTCCCTGCCCGTGGCAATGGCTGGAACTGAATGAGCTTTAAGCTTGCTTCCAACACAGACCCGTCTGGGATTCTGTCTGTAATGTGGAGGGTTGGTGGTGTTGCTTATGGGGGTATTTGGAGTAAAGTGAAGCTTCTGCAGCGTTGACCATGTTGAAAACACTGAAAGTAGAAAGGAGGGTAGGGTGTATCTTTCTTCAGTGTCTTCTTTCCTTCCTTTAAAGGTTTGAATGTCAAGAGAGTGCTGCTGCAGCCTAGAAATGCTGTAGAGATGGTGTTGTTTTGTTAATGCATCACAGTTCCTGCTCTGAGAAGTGGATTGTCCATGTGAACTGTTAATGCTAAGGCACAGAAATTAATTGGCAGAAGCCTGATTTAGTTCTTATGCAAATAAAGCAACACTATGCAATTCAGGGGGTTGGGAGGGCTCAGCCTCTGCCCTTTTTGTGGCATTTGTATAGGAAATCTGGAAAGCTTTGCCTCTGACTTGCACAGTGGGGAGCCGAGGTCAGTTATTTTTGGGTCCTGCTATTCCTGACTGTCAGTGAGTTGTAACTGTGAGCACGTTGTTTAGTTCCTGGAGCTCTGCAGCCCCAGACAATGACACCTCAGACTGGTACAAGCTGAGATGTTTCTCTGTCTACCAGTGATTATATGGTGATGACTTTATGTATCTAACTCTGAATGTCACATAGATCTATTACTACTAGATCTACTACTATTCAAGTAGTTCTGTTTTCAGTTGTGATTTATTTACCTGGCTGATGTGATTGTAGCTGCTTGTTGCCTCAGTAGTGGACTGTCAATGCATCTGGAAGTAAAGGTTTTGGATCATTAGCCAGACATACAATTTATGTTGTGAACTTTAGAGAGCAAAAAACCCCATCAGGAACAGAATGTAGTCTGCTCCATCTTGAACAGCTTGTTTAGCATTTGAATCATAGAATTATGGAATCCTTTGGTTGGAAGGGACCTTAAAGCTCATCCAGTTCCAACCCCTGCCATGGACAGGGACCCCTTCCACTGGAGCAGCTTGCTCCAAGCCCCTGTGTCCAACCTGGCCTTGAACACTGCTAGGGATGGGGCAGCCACAGCTTCTCTGGGCACCCTGTGCCAGTGCCTCAGCACCCTCACAGTAAGGAGCTTCTTCTTTATATCCTACCTGAACTTCCCCTGTTTCAGTCTGAACCCATCACCCTTGTCCTATCACTGCAGTCCCTAATGAAGAGTCCCTCTACAGCATCCCTGTAGCCCACTTCAGACACTGGAAGCTGCTCTGAGGTTTAATGCTCTGTCTCTTTCTGACAGCTTCAACTGATCTCAGTAGAGGTCTCCATCCTCTCAATGTATGCCAGCCTTTCTTTCTTGTCCCATGCACAAACTAGCTTACTCTTTCAACCATAACAAGAGAACCCAGGACCAGAGAAGATGCTACCCGGCAGGAAAACAAGGTGAAAAGTAAGAAGCTAATTAAACTTGTCCCTCCATCCCACAGGTTTAGTGCCATTCGATGTGATGCTGCAGTCCCCAGGCCAGTGGTTGAAGCTGCTCCAGCGCAGACGTCTGTGCAGGATGGTTCCCAGACCAAAAGTGACAGGAATGCTGCCAGTGTCCCTGCAGTCAATGGCCATGGACCATCGAGTGCTAAACCAACCACACAGCAGCCCAAAGGGATCATGGGAATGTTTGCAGCAAAAGCAGCTTCCAAATCCCAGGACACAAATAAAGAAACTAAAGTGGAGTCTAAGGAGGCCCCAAGTGTAAGTTACCTCAGACTCTTTGGCAGCCCTCTGGGCTAATAGCTTTAATGAACCATGCTTTGAGCTTTGCTCTTACTCGACCTAAATAACCTTAACCACTGTAGCACAGCCTCAGCCGCTCCTTCTAGAGCTAAACTTGCTGTCCCCTGGGTGTGCTCAGTCACTGTTTTGTAACTGTGTAGTACAGACGTGCCTTCTGTCAGTCATCTTGGGCAGAAATATGTTGTGCCAAGCTCTTGATCTATGCACAAAAGTAGATTTGCCATAATTCCTCATCCAGGGGAGGACATGAAGGTGCTGCGAGGGCTGGAGCAGCTCTGCTCTGGAGCCAGGCTGAGAGAGCTGGGCTGGGGCAGCCTGGAGAAGAGAAGGCTCCTGAAGGGGAGACCTGAGAGCAGCTCCAGTGCCTAAAGGGGCTGCAGGAAAGCTGGAGAGGGGCTTGGGACAAGGGCCTGTAGGGCCAGGCCAAGGGGAATGGCTTGAACCTACCCGAGGGGAGACTGAGCTGAGCTCTTAGGCAGAAGCTCTTCCCTGTGAGGGTGCTGAGGTGCTGGCCCCAGAGAAGCTGTGGCTGCCCCATCCCTGGCAGTGCTCAAGGCCAGGTTGGACACAGGGGCTTGGAGGAAGCTGCTCCAGTGGAAGGGGTCCCCATGGCAGGGGTTGGGGCTGGATGAGCTTTAAAGTCCCTTCCAGCCCAAACTGCTGTGTGATTTTGTAATATCATAGACACTTTGACATTCCTCCTTGAATGAGTATAAACCAGCACAGCTCCATTACTGAGACAGTTCTGCTGTCCTCAGTTAGGCCAAGATGTACCCCAGCTGAGGAACTTGCTCCTCTCCATTGTGCTTAAAAGGCTTTGTTTTGAGCAAGAAGTGCAATGTGAGAAGTCCAGGTCTTAAAAGCATCAAGGTGTTTAAACGTGCTGTGAGGGAAGTTTCAGAGCTTGACCAGTGCAAGACTAAACTGTTTATGTTCTCCACTGCTGCTTTTTTCCAGGCTAGGATTCCATTTTAATCAGTATAATTGTTTTTAAAGCAATATAGCCAGTAAATGGGGATTTAAATGGTAACATTCCCTGCATATGTTCTGCCTTTTTTTAATAACAGCTGAGTGCATTTTAGTTCATTTTTCTGATTTTTATAGTGAATTTAGCTCTGGTGAAATATGTGTCTGAATATTTGGGGAACTTTAGTGTCTGGTTGCCTTTTTTCTGCATGAAACTAAATGGGATTAGGAGGCCAGGCTTCCTTAGGTGGGTGTTTTGTGTATGTGATTTTTCACTGTGGTGGTGGCTCTCTTAGTGGAATTGAGCAGTGATATTTATTTCAGCAGAGCAGGGGACGTGCCAGAGTAGCTGGATAAAGTCTTCATGGTTTGGCCAATCTTTGTTCTTTCCTCTGTCAGTTACTGTGAATTGAGGCACTGATAGTTTGTAAAAGGAACAGTTCTTGCCTGGGATCTGACCCAAGTCTCAACCACTTATTTCAGTAACACTGTCAACCATCAGATGGGAATGTGACCTAAGCTGCATTCGAAGGCCTTGCTGAGTAGTGAGTAACTTACTCATCTAGGATCTTCACATTCTCCTAAACAGACACTGAAATCCAACACGCTGACCAGTCAACAAAATATATAGGTTTATTTTGCTTGTCCAGAAGCAGGACTCTGCATTTTGAGGGCTCTGCTGTGTGAATAATTCCTGTGGTTACTCCTCTGTTTGCTTCTAGGTGTCTGCAACGAGCAGCAAACCACCAGCAAAGGGCAACATAATGAACAACTTCTTTGGAAAAGCTGCCATGAGTAAGTGCTTTAGAACATGCATCTGTTTGCAGAAACTGGAGTTTGAAAACTAAAAATCCTGGGGGATATTGGAATTACAGCTTTCTTTTTAAAGCTGAGTAGCAAATAAAGATAACCAGTGTGTGAGCAGCAGGTTGAAGGAGGTGATCCTGCCTCTCTGCTCTGCTCTGCTGAGCCCCTACTTGCAGCACTGTGTGCAGTTCTGGTGTCCTCAATATCAGAAGGACATGGAGCTGTTGGAGCAAGTCCAGAGGAGGCCACGAGGATGCTCAGGGGCTGGAGCAGCTCCTGTATGGAGCCAGGCTGAGAACATTGGGGCTGTTGAGCCTGGAGAAGAGAAGCTGCGTGGAGACCTCAGAGCAGCTTCCAGTGTGTGAAGGGGGCTGCAAGGATGCTGGGGAGGGACTCTTCATTAGGGACTGCAGGGATAGGACAAGGGGTGATGGGTTCAGACTGAAACAGGGCAAGTTCAGGTTGGAGATAAGGCAGAGTTGTTCCCTGTGAGAGTACTGAGGCGCTGGCACAGGGTGCCCAGAGAAGTGGTGAATGCTCCATCCCTGGCAGTGTTCAAGGCCAGGTTGAACAGAGCCCTGGGTGGAACAAGTCCAGAGGAGGCCACGAGGATGATCAGGGGACTGGAGCACCTCCCATTTGAAGATAGGCTGAGAAAGTTGGGGCTGTTGAGCCTGGAGAAGAGAAGCTGCGTGGAGACCTCAGAGCAGCTTCCAGTGTGTGAAGGGAGCCTATAGGGATGCTGGGGATGGACTCTTCATTAGGGACTGTAGTGATAGGACAAGGGGTAATGGGTTAAAACTTAAACAGGGGAAGCTTAGATTGGATATAAGGAGGAAATTCTTTCCTGTTAGGGTGTTGAGGCACTGGAATGGGTTGCCCAGGGTGGTTGTGAATGCTCCATCCCTGGCAGTGTTCAGGGCTAGGTTGGATGAGGCCTTGGGTGATATGGTTTAGAGCGAGGTGTCCCTGCCCATGGCAGGGGGGTTGGAGCTTGATCTTAAGGTCCTTTCCATCCCTAACTATTCTATGATTCTATGACATGGTCTAGGGTAAGGTGTCCCTGCCCATGGCAGTGGGTTGGAACTGGATCATCTTAAAGTCCTTTCCAACCTAAATCATTCTATGATTCTATGATTTCAGGTGTGTTGTTACACAGATATGATGGGAGGCATAAAGAGAAAGGAGCACAACTCTTCCTTCCTTCTCATCCCTGCCCAGTCAGCCTTGTGGGATTTTCTTTGTATCCCTTCTTTCCTTACAACTTTCCATATTATCCTTCTGCTCTTTTGGCCTCGGAGGGGTTAATACTTTTGCCTGCAGCTCTTAAGGCAAAAATTAAGAGTCTTAAGTGGAATTTTTCAGACAAAAAGCTTGCTGGATGCAGATCAATGGAAATGACATATTTGTGCAGCCTAACCCAGGAAGGCTTTTTCTGTGTGTATGTGCAGAAGAAATCTGATTTAAAGTGAGTACTTCTGGCTGGAAGATTAGCTCTTGGCCCAGTGTTTGCCAAGACCTGTTATACAGGGCGCGTTAATGACGCTTGCTTTTCATCACAGACCACTGAGGAGTCTAGAGTTAGATGGAGGGTTAACTTCTTGCCTCAAAACTGAGGGTGAAACTGAAGAGTGGCCTTCCCTTTGAGCAGGGGTTCAGACTAGGTGGCCTCTGGAGCTACTTTCTGACTTAAATGATCCAAGTCTAAAGCAAATACCTTTTAAATAGACATTGGAAAAGGATTGTAGGACTTTGAAGAAAGATGCCCTTATAACAAGTACAAAAGGATTCAAAGAAGAGTTACTGGGAGGGAGTAAACAGCCAAGTTCACTTTCTAACAGCCCTCTGTCAGAGGTTTCAGGGTACAGTTCCAGCACTGAACACACAAGACACAGTACTGTTGGGCATCATTGAGTTCCTGTTTTTGTGAGGCTGAGGGAGCTGAGGACACAGTTACTACAATGAACTCAAGTAAATTAAGGTCTAAGAAGAGCCCTGAACCAGAGTTCAGATGCTGGAACCCCAGCAAACTGCATGGTAAAGAAGACCCAGTGGTGATGGAGAAAGCTTTGTGGATGCATTCCCATGATTTCCAATGGGGTTCACTTTATGGAGTCCTATCAGGGAGTACTTCAAGGAAACTTGAGGTGGCTGCAGGGAAGGAGCAAACAGAGTAGAACTGGAAATTCTGATGTGTTCAGAAGAGAGAGGGTGGTTCCAGGAGTAAGATTTATTCCCTACGTGTTGTATGTCTGTCCTGGCATCAGAGATTTCACCCTTGCCAGAAAGTCCTGAGATAACAATAACTGGGTCCTTCAGCTTTCTGCTGTTGATCATAAATAAGAGAGCTGTCAGTCAAACTCTGCTCCATAAGGTATTTTCCCTTGCTTAATGAAGCAGGCAGCCTGGTTTCCAAGCAGCATCAGAAAGGCATTGGCATGAAGTCTCAGCCCTCTCAGCAGCCTCTGTTCTTACTAAGAATGTGGTTGATCTCCCTGTTGAATGCTTTTTCTTTGCTGGGCATCTTGTGCAGGTTTCTAACGGGCCTGTTCTTTGTTTCTGGTGGGGTAGAGCTGCTGAGTGAAGCTCACAGACTGCCATCAGGTGCTAGTGTGCTGACAGCACCACCTATGAGGTGGATAAATACAGTATTTTGCTGTCTGCTCCCCCCTGCTATCTCTTTTGTGGTATTAGATTAAGCCTTTTGAAGCTGAATTGTCCTTATAGGCAGAAGAGGACATTTCTAAATCACGTTGGAGTTAGTGTAGAACAAGAAGCCACAACTCTTACTGACAATACTAATTCTGGGCTCTGATGTTATGCAGGATGGGGACTGCACACACCTCTCCTTGCTGTTCATCAGTCCTGATTGTCCTGTTTCCAGCCACTTTTGTGCTTGACCGAAGCTCTAATTTAGAAGGGAGCAATTGGTTATGGATCAGTTGCTCCCTTCTAAATCCTGGATGTGGCGTTATGCTAAAGAGGATGTCTAGAAGAGGGGCTCCCAACCCTTCTGCAGTGCCTCAGGTCCTGGTGATTGTCAGGGTTCTGCCTCTTAGCCCTCTTGTACAGGGTTTAACTGCTGTGACACACTTGGTTTTCTTAGGTTGTGCTGTCAGGAACAGCAGAACCAAGCTGGTAAATGGTTTTCTTTAGCCCATCCTTTGTTGTCAGTCAAACTGAATGCCCAGTATTCTCTTTGTAATGGCTTGTCCACAGATAAACTCAGAGTCAACTCTGTGCCTGAGCAGCCAAAGGAAGAGAAGGAAGTAATCAAGCCTTCGGTTCCTGAAGCACAACCAGAGTCATCCCTTAATACTGTTGTAGAGAAGCCTGGCAAGAAAACAGAACCTGCTAGAAGTCAACAGAAGGACAAAAAAAGGTGGGTGACACCAATCAGGATCCCTAAAATGTGTTAACCCACTTGTTGATGGCTGCATGGAGCTGGTTGATCACACAGTGCTGGCTCACCTCCTGTTTCCAGCTTCTAAACTGCATTAAACCAGGCTAAAATTGTCTCCCTTAGAATTCTCTCCTAATATTTCTTTTCCATTTAGTGCTGTAGATGCCCTGGGGCCATTTATGCCATTGCACATGGAAGGTGCATGGTCCAGGTAGTATTCAGTGGTGGCTTTCCATGAGACAACCTCATGCTGTGAGGAGACTTAACATAGACCCTGCAGGCAATCTGGGGGGGCTGGCAGGAGCACCTGTACTGCAGGGAAGGTAGTATATTCCCAAACTTATATGTACACAGCTTCCAGCACACAAAGTTCTGCTTGTTGATTTCCATAGCTCATGTAGTGCTGCTTTCAATGTCGCTGGTTTACTTTGGGCTGAGACTCCAAGTCAATTTGAAGTTGAGCCCTTTGTGTTTCATCCAACCCAAACTGACAGAGACAAAAAATCATTACAGGCTGATGGCTCTCTGGTGGCCTATGAGTAATTAATTGGTGGTCTCAATCTGTTTCTAACTAAATAGGTAAGCACATCACCACCCAGCCCACCATCACAGCTAGTGCTCACTGGTCTTCTTATTGCTAGTCTTAGTCAAGAAGCCAAGGGCCTGGAAAGCTGCGTGTTGGCAGTGGGATGTTGGGAAGGCCACTTGGGCTGTCCCAGCTCTAGGAGGCTACGTGGGCCTTTAGCCTCCAGGCTTGTTAGTCTGACATGTCTTGCCAACATTCAAAAGAAAGAAGCTCTTTTATTTTTCCAGTAGTCTTTAAAAATGGCTCCAGGATTCTGAGACACTACCTCATAGTCAGTCAGTGGCAAGCAGGCTGTCAAAAGAGCTTCTGAGAGATGCTGTTGGGGACATTAGTGTTTGGGAGCCTCAGCTTAAGAGACAAGATCAGAAAGGCTCTTTTGCCAGGGTGCTGTGGCCAAGCTAGGTGAGGTACTGGGCAAAACGTGGGGCTAAAGAAATCCCTCTTGTTTTGGAGAACTGGGTATGGGGGAAAGGCTTCAAAATGCTCCTGCACCTATGCCTGATTGTATAGGTGAGTATTCTTCAGTGTATGTGATGGTTTTAAGAGGTAGAGAGGTATTTGACGTCCTTGCTAGCAGTACTTCTATCGGACACATGCTCATCTAAACACACGTGGTGCTTTCATGCACACACAAGGGATAACACATATTCATTACTCTTTTTCCTTTCTTGTTGTGGCAGTAAAATGAAGAGGGTGGACAAGTCCGATGATGAGGAAGAAAGAGAACCTGAAAATGTAAAGAAGAAAAGGAAGCGAATCAAACAGCTTCAGTCTGACAGCAGTGATGAGGAAGGTAAAAAAGATGCAGAAACAACCAGGCATGGAGGTCAGGAGGCTGATTTTGACAGTATTACTATCTAAAGCTGTTGGTTAGTGATTGAGGACTTGTAGTTTAGAGGACTGAAGGGTTTCCTCTTAGACTCTAAGTGTTCAGGACTTAGAGGATTGCAGTTTCAAGGACTAAAGACCGTGCAAATGGCTGTAGCTTGAGCTCTCTTGTTTATCTTGCCCTGCAAGCACTTGGGCATAGAGTTGAGATGCTGCAGTCATTCAGTCTTTGTTTTAGCTGAGCTCAGATCTGGCTGTCTCCTCACCAAGTGTGCTGCCAGTCACACTGACGTGTGGGAAGGAGATTCTCAAATCTCTTGTGAAAGAGAGCATGCCTTCCAGAGCTGTTGGACTGGTCATAACCAGTTTATCTGGTGAATAAACACTCACAAAGTGACCTCCCCCCTTCCCAGGGTCATTTTTAGTATCTTTATTCTGTCTGTTTATAGAAATGGGTTGGAAGAGAGCGTTGGAAGCGAGGCATCCAAAAAAGCAAGATAATAGAGAAACTGGAGGCAAAGCAGTTGAGCCATATCCGATGCGACTCCGCGTCTCCTCGGTGGCTCTTGGCTTTGAGAGGAGGAGGGTGCCCAGAACGTCGCAAGATTTGGGTTTATAATGAGGAACAGCAGGGCTGGATTCCAAAGAATTTGGATAATTGAGGTGACAAATGCCGTTCAATACAGATAACTGGAAAAGAAGTTGGGATCGAGCTGGCGAGTATGTGTGAAATGGAGCACTCATCCAGCAAACTGATCAGGAAAAGAATTTGGGGATCATTACAGGCAAATAATTGAAACCACCAGTTTGGTGTACAGCTTCCAGTCAAAAATAGGTGCAACATGAAATAGGTTGTGTTAGTGAGGAGGTGACTCCAGCTGAAGCTGTTTGCTTATTCGGTGTGGCTACCAGATGAGAAACAACCATGGAATGAAGAGAATCTGCAATACAAATTAGAGAGGTGAATACTGTTGGATGTCATAGCAGTCTCCATGCCACCTTAGGCCTATTTTCATGGGTTCTTTGCTGCCCAGCCTAATTTCAAGTGATCTCTGTCATCAGGCATCCATCACTGCCCGGGCTATCCCACAGGATGATAAATCTCTCGGGAAGCTGTTCTTCATGATTAGCCTTAATTTCATCACATTCCTGTGTGCAGCTCCTTGTTTGGCCATGAAAAAAGTATATATGCCCACAGTCTTTGGTATTTATTTCTTTAAATGTTTGTAAGCTATTATCCAGTCTTTCCATTTACTCATCACTCAGCCTCCTGACAAGCTGTGGTGTTTAGCTCTGAAGAGGGAAGATTGAAATCAGCTCCTTTGGCCACTGAAAGGACCGCTTCTTGCTGGGCTGGAATCTCTCACTAGCAGGAGTGGGCAGAAATGAGGCTGTGTTGCAGGCGTGCAGGAGGGCTCTTTGAATCATGGGATCCCTGGGTTGGGTTGAAGGGACCTTAAAGCTCCTCCAGCCCCAACCCCTGCCACAGGCAGGGACCCCTTCCACTGGAGCAGCTTGCTCCAAGCCCCTGTGTCCAACCTGGCCTTGAACACTGCCAGGGATGGGGCAGCCACAGCTTCTCTGGGCACCCTGTGCCAGTGCCTCAGCACCCTCACAGGGAAGAGCTTCTGCCTAAGAGCTCATGTCAATCTACCTAGTCTAATATGATAATACCTGATTCTAATCTTGAAGTGCAAAGGCTTCTTGGTTCAGTGTTCCTTATGCTGCTGTGAGATGGGGACTTTCTGCCTCCTGTGTTGATGGCAGTGGTCTGAGCACACAGCAAGCCCAGAGGTGAGCACAGTCTGCTTTACTTATCTTCTCTCTAGCTCCTGGGACTAAAAGCAGTGCTTTATGACTGTTCTGAATTGAGGAGCTCTTTCTGTAGAACCATAGAATCTCAGGTTGAAAGACACCTCGAGGATCATCTGGTCCAACCTTTCTAGGCAAAGCATGACCTGTAGAGAATACTGCAAACTCCTTGCTGCATATCCACTTTTGGATATTAGAGCTCTTGTCTCTTGTTGAATATTCACCTTTAGCATGTGCTGAAGTTAATACCTTTGGATGTGGTGCCATCTGCTTTACTACATCCCAAGGTTTGCTCCAAAGCCTGTGTATGTACTCCTACCTGAGTGCCTGCAGTAGGTCTGTTTAGTTGTTGTGCCTTGTTTCATTTGTGCACTTAAGTGTGAGTTAACTGGATTTGTGATTAGAAGCCATCAGTCTGGTCCTCTGGTCAGGTTGGGAGCCTGTGTGTCTTACTGACCTCATTCAGAGTAGCTTTAGGCATTGAGAACAGGACAAGTAAGGCCATTCACTCAGTCATTTGATTGGCTTTTGATTTGCTCCTGTTTAACCTGGAGATGCAGGCAGAAGGTTTGACTTTCCATTTGGAGAGCTGCTCTTGCTCCTCCTGCATCATACCTAGTCCTCTTTGTTCTCTCCATTATGTGGAGCTTTGTGTTGTGTATTAGAATTGGAAATGTATGCAAATTATAGCTTAGACGTACAAATCTGTGTATTATTGATTAGCTTAGTGCTATTCCCTTTTAAAAGGGAAAGATGGGAATCAAGAGAGCTTCTCTGTTCTTCCTTTTCAAGCTAATGGCTATTTAAGCCACCCTGATGAGGTCCGTGTTCAGCCCTTTGGTTCTGCTGCTTGCCCTTCTAAATCCAACTGGATGAAAGGAGATAGAGTTGGGTTCTTTGAAATACTCATGTAGAATCCAAACTGATAATATTCCATTCAGTGTTCAAATATAAGGATGTAAGTAGCAAATAATTACATATAAATATATATAGCAGCTGGGATTTAAGAGCTTTTATCCTTGGGAAGGTTGGAGCAGGTTTCTCCAGAGAGCAGGGTCAATTTTAATCAGCATCAATGAGGAAAATGGGGCCTGGAGTGACATTGTTCCACGCTGCATCCCAGTGGGAGCAGGGAGGAAGGCACCATATGCTGCGCAGCATTTGGGTATCGCTGCCGGACAGGGCACGGTGCATCCACCACCTGCATGAGCACCCCCCAGATGATCAAGGGGTGAGTTTTAAATATGCAAGATGCAATATGGGAAGCTGCACCCCCAGGGTGGGAGCAAAGGCCGAGAGTGTGGCTGCTGCTGCTGCTAACCTGGCTGACCTCCACTGGAAGCAGAGGAGGAGGAGGAGGCACGGCCTTAGGCAGGCGTGCAGCTGCAGATAGGTGATGCTTGTCTATAGCCACTGCTGTGACTGAACTGTGTTCAGATAGGGCTCTACCTGTGAAACTACGAGTAAGAACACTGCCCCTTTTCAGGAAGATTTAGCCCCATCTTGTGGGTTTGAAACAACTGGTGATCAAATGCTGCGAGGGCTGGAGCAGCTCTGCTCTGGAGCCAGGCTGAGAGAGCTGGGCTGGGGCAGCCTGGAGAAGAGAAGGCTCCTGAAGGGGAGACCTGAGAGCAGCTCCAGTGCCTAAAGGGGCTGCAGGAAAGCTGGAGAGGGGCTTGGGACAAGGGCCTGTAGGGACAGGCCAAGGGGAATGGCTTGAACCTGCCCGAGGGGAGACTGAGCTGAGCTCTTAGGCAGAAGCTCTTCCCTGTGAGGGTGCTGAGGCGCTGGCACAGGGTGCCCAGAGAAGCTGTGGCTGCCCCATCCCTGGCAGTGCTGAAGGCCAGGTTGGACACAGGGGCTTGGAGCAAGCTGCTCCAGTGGAAGGGGTCCCTGCCTGTGGCTTTAAGGAGGAGCTTTAAGCTCCCTTCCAACACGAACCAGCCTGGGATTCCATGGTGTGAAGCACTGTACGGCTGTATTTATATCAGGGCAGGTCTTTTGCATCGTTCTATATTAGTCTGCTCTTTACATACTGAATATAGCCCAAAATAAGCTCTTCTTACACGGGTGTCAGCACATTGTACCGAGTTGGATATACAGAGAGGGCATAAGGCACAATCCTCCCCATTTAAATGATTTTTTCATTAAAAAGTTATATTAGTATGAGGGTGCCTTAGTCACTGCAGGTTGTTTTGCTTCCAGTGCCAGAATAAACTACACAAGTGTGTCCACAGAGGACAGGAGGGTTTGGCAGCTCCAGCTAGACCAACACAGGCAGCGTTTCACGGTGTTGACAAGTGTTTTACAGCCACTTTGGAGGGTGATTTCAGTGGCACTGTAACCTCCACACTCGCTCTGTTTCACAGAGCAGCAGCACTAAAGCTTCTCACAGGGGTTTTTTTCCAGGCAGGGTCAGAGCAGGCTGAACAAAGCCAGGATTTACATCTTTGGGACATCCAATTGCCCAACTTGTATCCATTTCATGCAGCTGTTGCCCTTGAGTAAACTGTGGGCAGCAGCTAGAGGTTGACTCAGGAGTTAGCACATGTCAGAGGGCTGTGTTGGCTAGGAGAGGATAATAAAGGGATAGAGAAGCAGCTTGGTGGTAGTCCGAAACACTCTGACGTGGGGAGAAGGTGCCTTCTGCCTGCCAAAAGCTGGGGTGGGCTTGTTTGAAGGAGGCTGAAAACAAAGCCTGAATCTGCCCCCAGTGAGCTGACACACTGCAGGTACCTTCAGCAGCCTCTGCTTGTGTTCAGCAGGCTGCTTTGCACCCCTTTTTAGCCTGCTTTCAGAGTGGTGTGGCTGGCTGAGCAGCAGGTTTGGTGCAGTGCAATGTATGCTCTTCCCAGCCTCCAGTTGCTGTGAGCCTGCTAAATACTGGGAATTCTGAGTTCCCTGCAGCTCCCGGGCTGCAATTCCTGCCTGCTCCAGCAGTTAACACCTTCGAGCTGATCCCTTGTTTGGTGTTTTATCCTCGCACAGCTGCCAGCCCCAGCTCTCTGGAGCAAGGTGGAATACCGAGTCATGTTATCCCTCTCTGTTTGCATTTCTGTGCCTTGCTTACTGAAGTAGTTATGAGGCTGAGCCCTTGTTTGAAGAATGTCATTTATTATTTAGCCTTGGCAGCCAAGCACTGTTTCACTTGAGCCCTTCTTAACCTCTGAAGGTCACTTGGCCCTTTGCCTGGCCAACAGTCATAACTCTTAACACTGACCTAATCGCCTGGGACAGCCACGGATCCAGAATTCCTGTTACAACAACGGGATGAATGCAGGGCTGCAGCCAGTGGAGCTGGGAGCAGAAGCCAAGCAGGCACCCTGACCTCCCAGCCAGCCACATCGGTGCTGTGCTTAAGCAATAGGTCAGATGAGGAGTTTCTTCCCCCCCCCGCCCCATTCTTAGCTCTGCCCCACACTTGAGGACCTCCATGGCAGTGTTTCTCCCTTTGATTTGGAGAGGATTCCTTAAAGCCACTGTGCTGCATGGTGCAAGGTGCTGCTCCTTGCCCTGCACTGGTTTTGCTTCCCCATGAGGGCTCTGTCCTCCTGCCAGCCCCACAGAAGAATGACCCTGACTTTCCCCTTTGTGAGCCTCTCTAAGGCTCTGTTTGACGTTGCTGGTAGAAGCTCCAGACCTGGTTTTGCTCTTCATGAAGTGGCCTTGACTATTTCAGCCACTTTTGGCATTAAAATGATTCCACTCTGTCCTTGCACCTAGAGGAGAGCACAGATGACGGCACAGGAGAGAATGGGCTTAGTTTTTTGGGGTGGTTTGGTTGCCAACAAAAGGTTGAGGTTTTTCTTGGTGATCTTTTAGGATGGGTGATGCTATTATTACACTTGGATTAAGGTAGCTCCAAGCTAATAACATGGATTGTTTTGGAATGTGTAGCACCATCAGTAACTGTTCTAGTGATGGGGGAGAGGTAGAGAAACTGAAGTCAGCCAGTGACTGGGAATATGTGGCCTTAAACCCTGACTCCATCAATCACTAAATGAGTTCCAGTCCATCTTTTCAACGAGCAAGTGAAATACATGGCTAAAACCTGCCAGTTTCTGGGCTTATTTTTAAGGTTTCATTTAGAGGGATGGATTTTTGGCTTACCAAAATCCCAAATGCACTTCTCCCATCCTATCCCCCCTTCCTTCCTTTGGGAGCTGCAGCACATGGCACTGGGGGAGCCATCTGGCTGGGGACTGATCACTCCAGACAAGTTGTCCTGACTTGAATTAAACAAACCTGAGGGAGAACTTGTAAACCTTGATCTAAATATAAGTTACAAGCAGTTGCTCAGAGTTAAATGGTATTAGTTAAGACAGAGGGGTAGCATTAGCCCTGGGTGTGATCACAATGTTCATCTTCTTAGCAGGTATCCCACCATCTCCTACACCTGAGGAAGAGAAAGCTCCATCTCCACCTCCCGTACCTGCCCTAAAAACTGAACTGGAGCCTGCATCCACAGAGGTAAGAGCATGTTAGTGATGAGCTTCTGGTTTGATCTGACTCGATGGGCATTTCCCAAGCACTTTTAAGATGCTGAAGGGGAAGTCCTGTTTCCCTTTCAAGCCCATCACATCATCCTGCTTGAAAGAATACATCACATTCACCAGTTCATTCATTTTCTCACTGTTATTTAAACTCTGACTTTTCTGTTGTCATAGGCAGGTTTCTATTTGCTTCTCTTTTCCCCTCCTAACAGTTCTATGAATTGTGGCTCATATTTCAACACTTTTCCCTCTGAATCTTGGCCTTGGGAGCCAGGGCAGGGCCAGAAATGAAACCAGAGACTCTTGGTATCCAACCTTGTATCACAGGAAAGCTGCTGCGTAAGGGGGTGGGCTGGAGTTGGCAAGAAGTTAACCTCGAAGCAGAGAAAATCCATGTAGGTTTACTGAGGGTGCAACTGCGTCACATCAGTTGTGGTGGCTTGCACAGCTTGTTGCTTCCTCATTCCTCAGGGGTTTGATGGGACAACCCTGGTGCCACCTTCCCATATAACTAAACACGTTTCAAGCTGTCACATGGCTCAGAAGAGGAACGTCCCCCTGTGCTGTCACAAGGGAAAGCTTGAGGTCTCATTTCACTTGTGTTTCCTCCCTCTGACATTTGTCCTGGTGGGATGGAGGGAATTGTGGCATCATGAAAAGTGAGACTGGGATATCCAGGGAAGAGACAGGTTTAGTTCTCAACTCATGCTCAGCTTCATGAGGGACACCACATTGCACACCCAGGACTGATGCTGTTCTGATCTGTGTGTGGGGCTTTAACTCTGGATTTCACAATACCTCAATGTCCCTCAGGTTTCAGCTGGAGGGAGGAAGAGGAAACGGAAGCGTGTGCTGAAATCCAAGATGTTCATTGATGATGAGGAAGGCTGCATGGGTAAGCTCTCTTCTACACCTCAGTGGAACTATACTGAAGATGTGCTGAAGATGTTTAAAGGCCAGCATCCCCCAGGCTCAGAAAGAGGTTCACAAAATCACTTTGCTGTTCCACTTCAACCTCATGCTGCAAGATAGAGATAACTGCCCTTTTGGTGAAGGCCTGCACAGGGAGTTGTGGAGCTGGAGCTGAATCCTGACTCTTTTTTGATTACCAAGAGCATATATCAAAAAGAGTGTGAGCAGCAGTCGAGAGAGGGGATTCTCCCCTTTTGCTGCGCTCTGGGGAGACCCCCTCTCTGCAGGCCTGATCCAGCTCTGGGGCAGCAGCACAAGAGGGACGTGGAGCTGCTGGAGGAAGTCCAGAGGAGGCCATGGAGCTGCTGTGAGGGCTGGAGCAGCTCTGCTCTGGAGCCAGGCTGAGAGAGCTGGGCTGGGGCAGCCTGGAGAAGAGAAGGCTCCTGAAGGGGAGACCTTAGAGCAGCTCCAGTGCCTAAAGGGGCTGCAGGAAAGCTGGAGAGGGGCTTGGGACAAGGGCCTGTAGGGCCAGGCCAAGGGGAATGGCTTGAACCTGCCCGAGGGGAGACTGAGCTGAGCTCTTAGGCAGAAGCTCTTCCCTGTGAGGGTGCTGAGGCGCTGGCACAGGGTGCCCAGAGAAGCTGTGGCTGCCCCATCCCTGGCAGTGCTGAAGGCCAGGTTGGACACAGGAGCTTGGAGCAAGCTGCTCCAGTGGAAAGGGGTCCCTGCCTGTGGCAGGGGCTGGAGCAGGAGGAGCTGTAAGGTCTCTTCCAACCCAAAGCATTCCATGATGCTGGGGATGGACTCTTCATTAGGGACTGTAGTGATAGGACAAGGGGTAATGGGTTAAAACTTAAACAGGGGAAGTTTCGATTGGATATAAGGAGGAAATTCTTTCCTGTTCGGGTGCTGAGGCACTGGAATGGGTTGCCCAGGGAGGTTGTGAATGCTCCATCCCTGGCAGTGTTCAAGGCCAGGTTGGACGAGGCCTTGGGTGAGGTGTCCCTGTCCATGGCAGGGGGTTGGAACTTGATGATCTTAAGGTCCTTTCCAACCCTAACTATTCTATGATTCTATGATTCACAGTTTTTCTTTCAGTTCTTCTCCCTTCCCTCCTGCCACCATGAGCACCTCCTTCATTTGCTCTCCCTTCCAAAGCTACAAGCTTTTAAAGATGATGCAGGGAAAGGTCTAAGTTTTGGGGTAGATTTTGGCTGGGATCAGTTTGGTTTGATGATTTTGAGTATTTTTGGGGGGAGTGGGGTGGGTTTTATGTTTGCTTTTATTCTCCTCATTTGGGGATAAATCCAAAGCTGTGCAGCAGACCTTGGTTATATGTTAATATAAACGTTAAGTATCCCAGATAAGAGTAAGTTGGAGCTTAAATCCTTGAGAGGGTTTCTGTTTCTGATAAGGGCAGCTCTGCTTTCAGGAGGGAAGAGACCCTCTACACAAGTACTGAGAGCCAAAGGCTTTGAATTCCAGCCCAACTGGACCCTGCTTCCTCCTGTGTCCAGGGGAAAGCTGTGCATCACCCCTGTGCTTTCCTCCTCTGTGTCCTGACACTGAAGCAGAGCTGCAGGAGTTCAAAGTCTATTATTTAAAGGCTAAAAAACATTAAGAGGGTGGAATGTGTTTTTGTCAGCTGAATTGTATGGGATGCTTCATATTCTCCAGCCTTGCCGATGTCAAGGGAGCTCAGCCAGTCCTAGGAGAAGATCTGTTGCTGTCACACAGGTTTGTCATTGTGCATGAGCATAGAAAGGCACAGACTTGCTTGGCCCAGGTTTGGAGCTGCCTGGACCTGAGTCAGCTTGTGTCTGTCTGCACCTATCAGTGTAGTTGTATCTTCTGTTTCCTATTAACTTTGTGGGTCTCCTTTAAAGAAACACTATGTTGGTAAGTGAAGTCTCAAATCCTGGAGTTGTGTCCAAGAATTGGCCTTGCACAAAGCTATTGAGTGCTTTGGCTGGTTGTGTTATGGGGTGTTTTGCTCTCCCATCCCAGATAAAACCATTAAAACACTTGGAAGGAAAATAGAAAGCATTATCTGAGGAGTGGAGTTGATGGAGCTCTGTATTCAGGGCTTGCAGGAATGACTGTTCCGGGTTCAGCTTCCAGCAAGGAGTGCTCCTCTCTTTCTTTCCAGCCTTTCCCAAACGTACCAGTGCTGGGAATACCGCCTGCCTTTCCCTTCTTCTCATTCCCAAGTTGTTTAACAGTCTCTTGTGAAATCCAGACCTTTAGTTTTACAGTCCTATCCACTACCATTATCTGAGAAGGGAAATGCAAGCCCTTGGTGTGCTTTGGGAGACAGATCCTCTGGGACAGAGGGGGTGGATGGAGCTGGGAAACTGAGGAAATGGGTAAGGAAGAGGGGTTGCTTTCCATACTAAAACCCTAGCAGTCTCCTGCATAGAACTTGCTGTCTGCTTCTTGTCCACTTTCTCTCCTCCCTTTCCATGCACAGGTCTAATCACTGGAAGGGTAAATACCTTGCAAATCTCCCAGGTTAAAGTAAATTGCTGTTATTCTTTGCAATATAGGGGGTTCTTTTCCCCCCTCTCCCTGCTGTCTTTCAAAACAAGGACTAGGTTCTAAGAGATGTTAAATCCTAACATTAGGATTAGGCTGTACTTGAAATTTCTCCATGGTTTGAAGAGATCATTTTCACAACATCTGCAATAGCAAGGAATTGGTGTCAAAAAGCAAAAGTAAGTTAGGGATTAGCCCTGAGGGGAATTGAGCAATTAAAGTGTCAGTGGGGTTAAGAACAGGACTTGTACCAAGTGGGACTCTATCAGTCGAATGTCTGCCCTTAGTATATAGCAAAGGGGAATTGCTGAGGGTTAAAGTGCTGCATTTTCTACCTTGCACTTCCTAAGGCTAGAAAGGATAGAATCACAGATTGGGTTGGGTTGGAATGGACCTTAAAGCTCCTCCATTCCCAACCCCCTGCCATGGGCAGGGACCCCTTCCACTGGAGCAGCTTGCTCCAAGCCCCTGTGTCCAACCTGGCCTTGAACACTGCCAGGGATGGGGCAGCCACAGCTTCTCTGGGCACCCTGTGCCAGCGCCTCAGCACCCTCACAGGGAAGAGCTTCTGCCTAAGAGCTCAGCTCAGTCTCCCCTCGGGCAGGTTCAAGCCATTCCCCTTGGCCTGGCCCTACAGGCCCTTGTCCCAAGCCCCTCTCCAGCTTTCCTGCAGCCCCTTTAGGCACTGGAGCTGCTCTAAGGTCTCCCCTTCAGGAGCCTTCTCTTCTCCAGGCTGCCCCAGCCCAGCTCTCTCAGCCTGGCTCCAGAGCAGAGCTGCTCCAGCCCTCGCAGCAGCTCCACGGCCTCCTCTGGGTTTGCTCCAACAGCTCCGCATCCCTCTTGTGCTGCTGCCCCCAGAGCTGAATGTAACAGCTGAAAGGCAGCATCTACATTTAAAAAGCAAAAAAACTGAGGTCTTACTATCCAGAAGCAACTCCATGGACTTGCAAATTGAAATATATATATATGTATATTGTAGGTAAATTTGTCTTATGGCACCAGTTTAAGTTAAGAACTCGTGTAGTTTGAGTTACCACTGATTTAGTGAGTCTGGCTCTGAGCTGAGCATCAATATCTGTCTGCATGCCCATATCTGCTGCAGATACAGAGTTGGACTTCAGCTGAGATGGCAGTGAGAGAAAGTTGATCTAAACTGTTATCTTGCAATTGGAGGGGATTCAGTGCACGCATTTGGACTTAGCAGTGATTACTGACAGGGGTGACAACATGATAACTTTATAAAGCTCAATAGTGGCCAGTGCAGTTAAAGCTGCTCACTGAAAACCCCCTTGCCTCTGAATGAGGGTTAGTTTGGGTTTGCAGTCCCTGTTTGAGCATCTGCTAAGGGTTTCATACCATTCCTCTTCCCAGTCTCTGGTTACGTAGAAAACCTGCTTTGATTTGATGCATTAATACAAGTGAAAGCCAGATTCCCAGAAGAAGGGAAGTTGGGACATCTGTTTAAAGGCATAGAGCTGCTAAAGAAAAATGGTTTGCTAGAGGAATCCCAGAGCACTGCTGGGAAAGCTGATACAACAACATTTACTAGTGTCTAACCGTGGCTTTCATCAGCAGAGCTGACTCCACTTTAATATCCGTGAGCCTTGCTTTATATCCCTTAGCTTTCCATCCCTGGATGCTGGCAGCAGTGAGCTGGCAATCCCCTTCAGAGCCCTTGATTTCACTCATGGGTTTGGGTTTATTGGGGTTTTGAAGGGATTTCTTTCTGGTTGCCCACCTTTGTAGAAAGAAGCTGCTCCCAAGGTTTTGTACTGCTTTATCTATGTTTGCTTCATGCTTCCCTGGCCATCTGAGGTGCTGGTGAGGGAATTCTGGGCCTGTCTTTGGGTTGTCCCATCTGGACTTCAGGGCAATCTGATTGTTATGGTCCCTGTGGAAATCAGGCCAACTCAGAATGGTGGTTTTTGACTATAAAATAGACATTCCATCATCTGATGCTGAACTATGGATTCTGCTCACGTGCAGATTCATCACTTTCTGATGGCTGCTTGTCAGTTGATGGTCCTCAGGAGAGTTGGGCCTTGCTTCTAAGAAGAGGGCAACACTTGAATAGATTTGGAAAGGGAACTGTTCTCCTGAGGGACCTTCCCACTGGGGAGCTTTGGGCTGTGGCTCTCGAAGGCCTGCATGTGGCATGTATGTGTGTGGTGACATCAAACCATTTGGAAAGAGCTGGATGACACTGGAAAAGAGAAGGCTCTGAAGGGGAGACCTGAGAGCAGCTCCAGTGCCTAAAGGGGCTGCAGGAAAGCTGGAGAGGGGCTTGGGACAAGGGCCTGTAGGGCCAGGCCAAGGGGAATGGCTTGAACCTGCCCGAGGGGAGACTGAGCTGAGCTCTTAGGCAGAAGCTCTTCCCTGTGAGGGTGCTGAGGCGCTGGCACAGGGTGCCCAGAGAAGCTGTGGCTGCCCCATCCCTGGCAGTGCTCAAGGCCAGGTTGGACACAGGGGCTTGGAGCAAGCTGCTCCAGTGGAAGGGGTCCCTGCAATGGCAGGGGTTGGGGCTGGAGGAGCTTTAAGGTTCCTTCTAATCCAGACCATTGCATGTTCTGTGATTAAAGCTCCTGAGTCATTAACCTGCCATCTCGCACTTAAGAAAGAGGGGAAGCGATTTGAGTCAGTGCATGCAAAGCCCATCCAGTCATCTGGATCTACTGCTTGACCTTGAGCAATGCACTGAATTCCTGTATCTGACACGTTCTCCTGGAGCCCCAAATGCTCATTTCCAGCAACGCTCGTTTCCTCCCCTGCAGCAGGGAGGTCTCTGCTCTCTGGTACGGAGGCTTAACCACCATCATCTGTTCTTGTCTCTTAACCAGTGACTGAGAAGGTTTATGAGAGCGAGTCCTGCACAGATAGTGATGATGACTTCAAGACCAAGCCACCAGCTGCACCCAAACAGCCTGTGCTGCCTCTGAAGAGAGAACCAAAGGAAGAAAGGAAGAATGTGAAGAAAGGAGCGGCTGGTGCCAGCAGAGCCAACAAACAGGCCTCCATCATGGGCTTTTTCCAGAAGAAATGAACTGGGTCTTTCTCCTGGTCCTTTTGGGACCGTTGCTCTTCTTGTGCAGCGTTCTGCAAGCTGCTGCATGGGAGGAGGACAACATGCAATCTTCACTTACGTAAGATATCTTGCTTACTGTGTAAGTAAGCCCTCTGGACTAGATTTGGTATGAGAGAAAAGCGTAATTCCTGACTGTAATAACTTGAATCCTCTTTATGGCATGTGGGAAGCACCAGTTAGAAGCAAAATCTAGAGGAACTCTTGAAAGACTCCCCATTTATCCCATTAAAATCTTTTTTAATATGGCCTTTTACCTGCTTGGTGCTGAGGCCTCTTCCACGGTGGAACAAAACAAAGAGTTGAGTTGTTGCATTCTTTTCCCCCTTCTTTTTACACCCCCAGTTCTCCAGATTGATGTAAATGGTCACATTGGTTTGAAGCTGTAACGTAACCGGTCTTGAGACATACACACAAATATTGAACATCTGCTTCAGCTTTAACTGAATGAAATGAACTTGATTTTCCCCCAAAGACTGGTAAATAGTTTTTGCTCTGCCTTTCATAATCTTTTTTTGGACAAAGCAGCCCATATAAAACTCTCTTACTCTTTTCTTCCTTGAACGCATCCTCTGTAAACTGCTCAGATGCCTAATTATAGACCCGGGACACTGTTGGTGCTCTGTGTCTGCAAAAACATCTCTGAGGCTTCCCACCCAACTGGCTCCGGAGTAATTTGGGGGAAGGCTTTGCTGTTATTGGGAAAGCAACTGTATCCTTAACCTTGGAAGTTAAGGAGTCAAAGGGAAGGGGGATCAGAGGGCACTGCTGATAACACCGCTCAGGTGTGTTGTCCATGAAGAATTCCTGCTTTTGGGTTTTGTAGGGTTTGGGTTGTCTGAACTGTGTTTTTCCAGGCATAATCTAGACACCAGGAGAGTTGTTTCCTAGGACATCTCGTCCTCTGTCTGCTGAGGGAAGTGTGTCACAGCAAATGGTGCTGAGGAACCAGTGACTGGAGATGAATAAAGCACTGCAGGCCACTAAATCAGAAATGAGGTGCCAGTTTGGATGCTTTCTGGTGCTAAATGTGGTAGATCCATAGAAAAGAGCAGGGTTCCCAGAGGTGGGTGCTGAGCATTTCTGAACCTGGGCCTTTGAGGACCCCAAATGGGTGACTGATGTCATCAGTGGTTGTTTCCAACACGTCTGGATATGTATGTACATCCTGGTTTATAAAGAGTTTGTGGTTGGCAGAAAGCTACCTAAAGCCTGAAGAGTGTCACCAAGGAAGAAATGTCTTCAGCCACCCCACTGCAATCCAATGTTTGGCCAGGAAAAGCTGTTTACAGTCACTCTGACCAGGAGATCAGGTTAGTGCCTCTGAATTTGAAAGCACACGCTCCTAATAGTGACCACCAGTTGCCTTGCTGGAAGTCACATCACCCTGTGCCATCAGGGCACGTGAGAGGATCTCCTTCAAACACCTACAAGCAGCAGTGTCTCTGTGTGCCTGTGGGTGTCCAGACTGGGGGGTTTCAGGTGCTTGACACATGGATCACTGCTTGACAGGGCTGTTTGAGGGCACCCTCAACCCCTTCCCCGTTAGAAACAGTAAGAACTTAAACTCTGGTCTTAAATTCTGGACCTTCTGAATTGGAGATGTGTAGGAAAAAGGCTGGGAAGATGAGGGAAGCCACAAATGACACGGTACTCCCAGCCACCCAAACACAGAGCCTGCTGCACAAGCTCAAAGAGGTTTCATGCTCTCAAGGTGTGTCAGCCTAAGTCAGCTCTCCAGGTTGGAGTGACGTGAGCAGCAGAGGTCCATGTGGAAAGAATGAGCCACCTTGTTCTGCCTTTTATGAAGGGAATTTAACTGTTAACCACACTGCTGCAGTGTTCCTGGGGTTTTTTTTTGCTGGAATGGAGGGTGTATTTTGAAAAGTAATAAGTAACAAACCCATTAAAGACATTTTTCTTTTGTTCTTGCTGTTTGTTAACTGTCCATTAATTCTTCACTCTGATTTCCAAGGGTTGCTGTGACATTTGTCTGCACGGCACAATGTCACTGGTGGAGTGGATACGATGTTCTTCCATCAAAGGCAGGGCTGGAAGCATTAAACTGGTTTATGGCATCTGAAATACGGGTGAGAATACCTCAAAATGCCAGGGTCTGTGTTGAATTTGGACCCTTTTTGTCTCATTCCCATGGCAGATGTTGGCAGGACGTGGTGTCCCCGTGCTCTTGCACCTCACCTCTACCAGGGTCTAGCTGGAGCTCGCTGCTCCACCCCACCTCCCTCTATAACCAGCTCAACGTCATAGGCGACTTCCTCAGGAAAATGACTTAATGTCTGAAGAAGCAGGACATAGGAGAGCTTCAGACTGCCCAAAATCATGATCTCATACTCCCTGCTCCTGCACTTCATGGGCTGCCAGCCCCAGGGGGGCCTCAGGTCCCTGGTTGCCCCCTTGGCGAGGCTGGAGCATCTCCAGGCGTTGCATGGGAGCGAGGAACAGGGCTGGTTAAAGGGAGAAGGTTCCTTCTTGCTGTGGCTCATGAGGCTGAAAGAGCAGCTCAGAGCCAGGCCAGGCTTTCAGATACAGAGCATGTCTTCTGCCTCACAGTAAGCTCAAGATTAGGTATTTATGGTGCTCAGGGTCCAAAGTCTCATCCTGGAGCTACAGAAATCCTTTAGGATTTCTTCTTTTCCCTCTGCATCCCCCTTCCAACAGGTTTGCACCTTGGAACAGCAATGCTTCATGTTTGGGAGAGGATGTTTGTTCATTGTACAGTGGTGTTTGCTCACTCTTTCAAACAGAGGAAGCTTCACCCTTGTTTTCCAGGTGGGGTGAGAAGCTGAAGTTGCACCACTGGATACAACTATTGATGCACCAGGCTCCCATCAGACACGATGCCTCTGAACCAACACCTGTGTGTGTGCCCTGGGAAGGGGCTGGAAGTGCTGCTCCTAGGGATGAAACATCCCTGTCCCTTGAGCTGATTTATAACCCTCCTTCCCCTGGGACAGAGCCTGCTTAGGAAAAACCCCTCTGCCTTTCCCAGTCTGGATTCAGCCAGCCTAAAACAGAGGAAGGATGCGAGGAAGCGCTGCTGGGTGCTGGCCTAGGGTAACAGACGATGAGCAGCAGGGCTGAGCTGGGCAGGAGGCTGTCCTGGTGCTGCAGGGAACTGTTTTGCTCTCTGAACAGGCAATGCCAGCTCGGCTGTGGATTCCAGTTGGGAATCATGGAGCAGCAGGGCCTTATAAGGAAGCAAAACTCAGCTCCGTGAGGCTGGTGGAGAGGAGAGCGGGTGCTTGCCAGGGCCCTGCGTCAGCATCTTGCTTCTCCCTGGCTGCAGGGAATGGGCTGCAGCACCCTAAGGTGCTTAATACAAGGTGTGGGTGCTGCTGGGAGGGATTTGGAGCACCCCCTGCCACACTGGGGTCTGCTTTGGTTCATATCTGCTGCCATGGGTGCTGAGATCCCTATGGGAGCTATTATCTGACAGGGTCAAGTTCATCACCCATCTTTGACTCTTCTAAGGCAAATTATGAGTGATTCTGCCTATGTTCATGTCCCCCACATCATGTCCTGGTGCTGCAAGGCACCAGAGATGCTGCGTTCTCAGCATGTGGGTTGCTGGTGCCATTATTTGATGGCTTCAGCCCATGTCCCATCAGGAGCTGTGCATGAATTCCATGTCTTAATTCACAGTTTGATTCTTTTCAGAGGTTTCCCACCTTAAACCACATCTGCGGGCTCAGAGGAGGGGGTTTGGTGCCTGGAAGCTGCCTGCAGCATCCCAAAAGCCCCTGGTTTGGAAACCAGCAGTACCTGTAGGAACCCTGAGCTTCTGCTCCGAGTTGGGAGCTGGATCTCACATCAAAGCTGACCCTGCTTTGGGGCTTGGACCAGAGACATTGAGGGGTCCCATCCAGCATCCACAAGTCTGGAAATTGAACTGCAAAGCCATGGCAATAATATTTAAGCCCCAATGTGGTGTTCTTGAAGGTGGGGCTCTTCACTGTGGGCTGCCACACCACTGTTGGGTGATGGTGTGGGGTGTTAGAAGCCTACAACCCCAAACCACAGTAAATGGTGCTCAGGTGGAGCTAAGGGGTGAGTACAAGAATGCAGTCACTAATAGAGGCCAGAGAGCATCACCAGGGCCCTCAGGTTGGTGGAGAGAAGAGAGATGCTGCAAAATGCAAGGAGAAGAAGCATCACTGGGAGTTTGGGGATGGTTTTTCCTCATCATCATGTTATGGTGGATGAGGGTGCAATAGCTGAGCATCGCATCCCACTCACCATGACATGAGGGCACCAGGACCACGATACAGGGGGAGATAAGCCATTGTGCCTGGGTACTGAGCATCCAGGGTCCCTCAGGTCTAAATATCTCCCTCTGGGTGCTGAGCACCCTTCCTGAGGGCCAAGCATCACCCACCCTTGGTGATGAGCATCCACTTTGGTGTTGAACATCCCTTGGTGCTGAGCATCCACCTCAGTGTTGAACATCCTCCCTTGGTGCTAAGCATCCACCTCAGTGTTGAACATCCCTTGGTGCTGAGCATCCACCTCAGTGTTGAACATCCTCCCTTGGTGCTGAGCATCCACCTCAGTGTTGAACATCCCTTGGTGCTGAGCATCCACCTCAGTGTTGAACATCCCTTGGTGCTGAGCATCCACCTCAGTGTTGAACATCCCTTGGTGCTGAGCATCCACCTCAGTGTTGAACTCCCTTGGTGCTGAGCATCCACCTCAGTGTTGAACATCCCTTGGTGCTGAGCATCCACCTCAGTGTTGAACATCCCTTGGTGCTGAGCATCCACCTCAGTGTTGAACATCCCTTGGTGCTGAGCATCCACCTCAGTGTTGAACATCCCTTGGTGCTGAGCATCCACCTCAGTGTTGAACATCCCTTGGTGCTGAGCATCCACCTCAGTGTTGAACATCCCTTGGTGCTGAGCATCCACCTCAGTGTTGAACATCCCTTGGTGCTGAGCATCCACCTCAGTGTTGAACATCCCTTGGTGCTGAGCATCCACCTCAGTGTTGAACATCCCTTGGTGCTGAGCATCCACCTCAGTGTTGAACATCCCTTGGTGCTGAGCATCCACCTCAGTGTTGAACATCTCCCTTGGTGCTGAGCATCCACCTCAGTGTTGAACATCCCTTGGTGCTGAGCATCCACCTCAGTGTTGAACATCCCTTGGTGCTGAGCATCCACCTCAGTGTTGAACATCCCTTGGTGCTGAGCATCCACCTCAGTGTTGAACACTCCCTTGGTGCTGAGCATCCACCTCAGTGTTGAACATCCCTTGGTGCTGAGCATCCACCTCAGTGTTGAACACCTCCCTTGGTGCTGAGCATCCACCTCAGTGTTGAACATCCCTTGGTGCTGAGCATCCACCTCAGTGTTGAACATCCTCCCTTGGTGCTAAGCATCCACCTCAGTGTTGAACATCCCTTGGTGCTGAGCATCCACCTCAGTGTTGAACATCCCTTGGTGCTGAGCATCCACCTCAGTGTTGAACATCCTCCCTTGGTGCTGAGCATCCACCTCAGTGTTGAACATCCCTTGGTGCTGAGCATCCACCTCAGTGTTGAACATCCTCCCTTGGTGCTAAGCATCCACCTCAGTGTTGAACATCCCTTGGTGCTGAGCATCCACCTCAGTGTTGAACATCCCTTGGTGCTGAGCATCCACCTCAGTGTTGAACATCCCTTGGTGCTGAGCATCCACCTCAGTGTTGAACATCCCTTGGTGCTGAGCATCCACCTCAGTGTTGAACATCCCTTGGTGCTAAGCATCCACCTCAGTGTTGAACATCCCTTGGTGCTGAGCATCCACCTCAGTGTTGAACATCCTCCCTTGGTGCTAAGCATCCACCTCAGTGTTGAACATCCTCCCTTGGTGCTGAGCATCCACCTCAGTGTTGAACATCCTCCCTTGGTGCTGAGCATCCACCTCAGTGTTGAACATCCCTTGGTGCTGAGCATCCACCTCAGTGTTGAACATCCCTTGGTGCTGAGCATCCACCTCAGTGTTGAACATCCCTTGGTGCTGAGCATCCACCTCAGTGTTGAACATCCCTTGGTGCTGAGCATCCACCTCAGTGTTGAACATCCCTTGGTGCTGAGCATCCACCTCAGTGTTGAACATCCCTTGGTGCTGAGCATCCACCTCAGTGTTGAACATCCCTTGGTGCTGAGCATCCACCTCAGTGTTGAACATCCCTTGGTGCTGAGCATCCACCTCAGTGTTGAACATCCCTTGGTGCTGAGCACACCAAACCCCCATCCACCTCAGTGTTGAACATCCCTTGGTGCTGAGCATCCACCTCAGTGTTGAACATCCCTTGGTGCTGAGCATCCACCTCAGTGTTGAACATCCCTTGGTGCTGAGCATCCACCTCAGTGTTGAACATCCCTTGGTGCTGAGCATCCACCTCAGTGTTGAACATCCTCCCTTGGTGCTGAGCATCCACCTCAGTGTTGAACATCCCTTGGTGCTGAGCATCCACCTCAGTGTTGAACATCCTCCCTTGGTGCTAAGCATCCACCTCAGTGTTGAACATCCCTTGGTGCTGAGCATCCACCTCAGTGTTGAACATCCCTTGGTGCTGAGCATCCACCTCAGTGCAAACTCCATGCTCAGCATCCCTGTTACACAACCCCCATCTCCTTGTGTCCACCTCCACGGTGATCCCCATCATCCCCATCCCTCTGTGCATCCCGGTGCCTGTTTACTCCTCACATCCCTCCCCTTCGCTTCACCCCAAGAGCTTCCTGGACTGGTGTCTGGAAGGGATTATTTTTAACCTTCCCAATATAGAAAGCCTCGTGGAGGAGCAGCTCCTGTTGTTCCATTCCCTTTCCATGTCGTCCTGCAGGGAAGGAAGCCGGCTCCATAAACAGGCTCCTGCAACGCGGGCGCTGGGGACAGCACACGTGTGTCTTGGGAGTGAAGAGAAGGGGA